AATATTAATAATGTATAAGTTTTATTAATGTTTATTTATATTTTATAATAAATAATAATAATAATATTAATAAGCGTTATAATTGAAAAAAATGATAATAAACTATCAAAACGTTACTACAAGTATTGTTTGAATAAGTTAGCTTATAAACTAACTTATGTTCATCCAAACATGATTTGTAATTGATTATATTTGTGTTTTATAAACCAAATCTAATTTGTAAGTTATATAAATTGATTTGGGATCATATGAGACCAAAGCTTTTTTGTGAGACCCGTAAGACTAATTCTCAACCGTTGGATTAGATCTACAATCTCAACATTCTTGATCATAAAATTGCCACGAGATTTATCAATAATTACAAAATTGTCATCATGTAACTTTAGACCATTAGATCATTGCTTATAAAGTTGATCAGTGAACATAAGTTGGTCTCACGGGTCTTACAAAAAACCCTACGAACCCAACCCTATATAAATTAGTCTATATATAACTTGAAGAGGGTTGTAGTGGTTGACGAAGACGTTTCAACTTTGTTGCATATTTTTGATGATGGATTATTTCCGTTATTCCACTACGACACTTCAAATAATTGATGCGATTGGTGGTGGGAAAAACTGGTCCAATTTTTCAATTCCATTTACACATTTTATTTTAATTTAAAAGCAAATTTATTGAAATAAATGTTGTAAAAATAAATAAATGATGCCATCCATATTGCCATTGTTTTCGAGGAGAAAAAGTACAAACTATTATATTTATATATATATAGAGAGAGAGAGAGAGAGAGAGAGAGAGAGAGAGAGAAGGGGATTTGGTTTACGTGAGACCAACCTGTTTTCATTAGACCACTTTTTTACACTTGAAATTTTACAGCAAAACGCTATGAAAGTAAGAAAAAAGCCGAATCTTCAAAACAAAAACATTGTGAAGGTTACTTTCACAGCGTTTTGTTGTGAAGTTTCAAGTGTAAAAAAGTGGTCTCACGGGTCTCACAAAAACAACCTGGTCTCACGTGATCTCAAGTCTCTCTCTCTCTCTCTCTGTATATATATATTTCACTTTATACACACACAAAAACAATTTATCTACCACAAATAATAAACTGGTTTTTTTGGCATTTGGAATTTTGGGTAGCACGGATATGTCAACTTGTACATTAAAATAGAGAAAAGAGAAGAAAGATTCTAAAAATCTCTAAATTTAAAGAAATCTCAAAAGAACGAGAAAAATTATTATTTTAATACTTTCCATCAATAAAAGGTGTTGAAAATAAATGTTTACGAAATAAAAATAATATTTTATTAAATATATTAAATATTTTAATAATATAATTAATATTAAAATTGTTAAAATAAAATATCTGTTGAAATTAAATGTAATTTTTTTTAAATCTTAACTTTTTAACTCCCCAATAAATTTTCTTCTAATACTCTATTTCAGAAAATATAATACAACTATCTAAGATATTTTAATATTATTAAAAAAATATTGATATAGACTTTTTGCCACTTTAAATTTTAATCTAATTTATTATTTTTTTCATTTTTCCAGAGGTTTGTTGCCTTGGAATAAAACTTTTTACCTCCCAAATAATTTTTATTTTGATGCCACTTGATTAGGAATAGTGATTTGCCCCGATTTGGTGGGAACCCAGTTCACCAAACTTGAACGGGGATAAAAATTCCCCGCTAAAACAGGTGCCGGGGCTGGGGTCAGGGATCCCCAACAGAATCAAAATAAAGGATACTATTTATGGGGTTTGACCGAAGGGTTTACCGGGGATTGCTAGAGATTTGACCAGGGACGAGATGAAAATTTCCATACACGGCGGGAACCGGGGCCGGGGGATGATACTACAAACTAGGGGTTGGGGCCAAGAATTACAACCCCCCCCCCCCCCCCCCCCCCCCCCCCTTTACCATGCCTACACTTGATGTCCATGGCCACCTCATCATTACCATTGCGGGACGATTTTGTTAAGAGCCAACATTCTAACTTACTTTATTGAGTAAGACTGTAGTCCATTAAAACGGTATTGTATATAACAATTTATCCAGTAAATGCTTATCGGATAAGACGCTTTATTCTAATCATCTTTCCTATCGGGTAAAATTACCAACCATTGCCATGTTCGTCATACAAGGTAAATAACTCAATAAATATTAACCGGATAAATATTTAAAAACGGCCCCTAAATTATTTGTAAACTATAATTTGAAGAATTTTTGTTAGAGTTGTCTAAATTTGAAGAATTTTATCATGTCTTTCATACTTTCTCCATTTTAGAGAAGGTTAAGAAAATCTGTTAGAGATTTTTTTTTTAAATCTTCATTTTGAAAATTTTGTTAAATACATTACTAACACTTCATGAAAATATTTTAGGGATTTAAAGGGCACTTGGTTTTGAAAATGAAGATAAACTTTAGAATCCATATCCAATCCGTTATGCGAGTTGACTAATTCCAGCGCGACCGCCTGCTTAGCGGGTAACCCGAAGACTTCATATTTGAACCTTCGTGACTACAAGAAGATTTTTATTCCTGCTTGAATTTGAATATGAAGCCTCCAGACATTTAAAGTGCATTCTATTCGTTCCTTTTTGTTGGGAAATATTTTATTATCTAATACTTAGTAATAAATATTCAAATTATGCATCATTAATCATTTTTAGAGTAAACGATAAATTTGGTCTATATGATTTATTAAAAAATAACATTTTTCATACATGCAAATTTTAAATTAGAAGATGATCAACCATAAGGGTGGTGCCTGATTGGTTTGAGGTTGACTCCAAAGGTCAAAAGTACCAGGAGGTCTCAGATTCAAATTTAAAGAGAAATAAAAACCCCCTTATGGCCACGGAGGTTCAAATGCGGTGACTCCGGACTATCTGCAAAACAGATGGTCCCCCTGAGATTAGTCGGCTCGCATAACGGGTTGGATATTCAGGTTAGTCAAAAATAAAATAAAATTAGAATATGATCATTGTGCTTTGTAAAACCGTCTAGATTTGGTTCCTTCCTCTGACGTTCATTAAAAAATTATGTTTAACGAGGAACACTTTCGTCATTTAACAAATTCTTTGTATTTTATCCAAACATATTCGATTTTATGATTTTTGTTCTTGTGGTTTTCAATTAAATAAAATATAGAAAGTCAATAAAATGATGAAAGTACGCTCATTTAACGATATTTTTTAACGATCATTAGAGGAAGGGGTTAAATTCGGACCGTTTTACAAACCACGATGGTCATTTAGTAAATTTGAAATCATAGGGACAAAAAATATCATTTTTTTAAAACCGTGGGGACCAAATTTGTAGTTTACGACTTCTACTCTTATTTTTATTGCTACCCCGCTAGGCATAGCAACTGGGCGGGGATGGGGCGAGTTTTGTAATCCCCGGCCCCAGTCCCGGTCCCCGGCAAGTATGTGGATTATTATCCCGTCCCCGGTCAAATTCTAGCAATTCCCGGTCAAAACCCGGTAAAAAATATGTTTTAGTTTGAGTCTACCGGGGATCCTCGACCTCGGTTTGAGTAACATCCCCCGTCCCTGGTTTGAGTCTACCAGGGATTCCGACCCCGGGACCTATTTTAACGGGAAATCCCCGTCCCTGTTTGGATCGGATGAACCGGGTTCCCCACCGAATCGGAGCAATTCACCATCCCTGTACCCCGCCGATGCATATAAGAACACTCGTATGGTGATTATACTCAAAATTGATGAGGGGTGTAAACTAACATTACTTCATATTTTTGGGTGTGAAGTGAAATATTTTTATCGTTTGCATTTCTTCCTTCATCAAGACTTGACGACGAAAGGACATAAGTAGTGAGAGCGAAGGAAACTATCCAGTAAGCCATCGGATCTCCTGCCTGCCGGAGCAACCAACTTGAAGGTACGTTTTCACTGCCGGAGATCTACATCCTCTGGATCCGTTAATTATTCTGTTATATTTGATTCATTGCTTGATCTACACCTTCTGCTCTGTAGGTGTGCTCAAATACTTGGACTTGATTTAGTCGCCATTGAACTTCAATACTCTCAAAATGGTAATTAAATGCCACTGTATTGTTGAATTTCATACCTGTAAAGTAAATTTTGAGATTACATAAGAGTTTTGGCATCATATTTGATCTTTCGAGTTGCTAGTAAATTTAGGGTTTATGGTGCTTAGATTTGGTTGTTAATTCCATATATTTTTCTTGTAGGTTGTTCTAGCAGCCTCCATTACCAGTAAATCTGGCAAAGGTGTGTTGTTTTATTTCCCTTTAAGTTCAGATCATCTGATGTAATCGGGTGTGATTGTAATTTATAAATTTTTCGCTTGTGAAATTAAAATGTAAACCAACTATGAAGTTTTTATGTACTTATGAATGCTTTCACTCTTCTATAACCTAAATTAGTGGAAATGCGTAGAACTATTGATGACATCTCGGATCTAAGTCAGAACATGTTAATAGAAAAGAAGAACAAAAAATAACTAAGATGAATGCACAAAAAATACTTTTCATAGAACGTATTTTAGTTTTATATATCGACTTGTTAGCAGCTGAATTTCACTTGCTAAGCCAGTAACATTTTCATGCTTGGCTCAGATCAGTGAATACACCATCCCTTTTGCAGTTTGTATATGATGCTCATAGCTATTTGACACAAGGTGCGACTGACAAGGTGGTCTGCCTGCACCTCTAAGGATGAGGCAAAGACAACAACTGTCATCTATCAGTGTCTGAAAAAAATTGGATGAATACATTTTAAACACAGAAAGTCCCATTGAAAATTGTGAGAGGGGAACAAAGGTCGCCTTATAAGGGACCGAATACCTCCTTTATCAAACGTGTTTTAAAACCGCAAGTGTGGATAAAGCGGACAATATCTAGTACGGTTGACCGGGATGTTACAAAAAGGCTATGTATCATAACCACCATAAGTATGATATACCTTTTTTAAGTCATAAGGTAAGCATGCTTATTTTTCATAGGGCTTAAATCCTCAATATCTTTTGTATCTCGAGCTTAAAGCCTACAAAAGCTTGCTTTATATGATGGTCTTGTCTAGCCCTAAGCAACTTTCTAACCTAGCACCTTTATTTGTCTTGAGCCTATGATTTTGGCAGCAATGTACAAGCCTTGTGCTACAGTTATTTCACTGAAGCTGTAGTCTAGTATCTACGAGTATAAATTGTGTGTTACGTTCCATAACAAATAGGAGTTAGCACTAGCTTGTTCGCTGGTGCTCTTTTTGTTTTCTAAACTGCATTGTTGTATGTTTTATTCGCCATTCTTAATGATGCTCCCAGTCAGATGTTAACTAATAGTCGTTTTTTTACAGCACTTGTTTCAAGGCAGTTTGTTGACATGTCGCGGATTAGAATTGAGGGGCTTCTTGCAGCTTTTCCAAAGTTGGTTGGAAGTGGGAAGCAACATACCTATGTTGAGACGGAGAATGTGCGCTATGTGTACCAGCCAATTGAGAGCTTGTATCTGCTACTTGTAACGAACAAGCAAAGCAATATTCTTGAGGATCTGGATACATTGAGGCTTCTTTCTAAAGTTGTATCCTTTTTGCTGCATAACAAAATTTGATGCAACATGCACCGAGGTTTACCTAAATTTTAGAGTCTCATATAGGTCAATGCAAGGTATACATATACATGGTACTGAAATAGAGGGAGGAGAGAGGAGGTGAGAGTGGAATTAGGAGTTGACGATTGATCTTTTATCGAGGGTGATATATTTTTGCTGTCCCACTTTCACTAATTTAGAGAAGTTTCATTAGAGTAGAAAATTGGTTTAATATGGACAATAATGTATTTATCTCTTGTCAAGTTATTTATCTATTTTGTCAGTCATATAGGCTGGTTCTTTAACTTGTATGATTCCTAACCGTCTAGAGCTAGCAGAGTTTTCTGAGAAAATTGTCTCACGATGATTGACGTGTTTAGTTAATACCAGGTTTAGGTAGATCAAACTTTGTATCATTTTAGTGCAATATGTATTGTTTTTTCTCCCTTAAAGATGTGACAGTTTTTTATGATTTCTATTATTTTGATACAGTGTTCAACTTAATTATTTTTCTATACCAATGAAGAAGGGTAGTTTTCTTTAATTCAGTTCATGCATGTTGAAGTTGATGCCACAATGATGCAAACATTTTTCTATCTATCGATTTCATAAGAAGTTCATACAGATTGACTCCTTAACTATGCATAGATCCCTGAGTTTTCTGCCTCTTTAGATGAAGAAGGCGTTTGCAAGTATGCTTTTGAGCTGATTTTTGCTTTTGACGAAGTCATTTCCCTTGGGCACAAGGAGAATGTAACTGTTGCCCAGGTGAAGCAATACTGTGAGATGGAGAGTCATGAGGAGAGATTGCACAAATTGGTGTTACAGAGTAAAATCAATGAAACCAAGGATGTCATGAAGCGTAAAGCTAATGAGATCGATAAAAGCAAGGCAAGTTGATTAGGGTTCAATGAGACATTATTCTTCAATCATCATATTTTCTTTGACATCCTATTTCTGCTTTAACAAATCTTTGTGCAATTTTTCTGCAGATTGAAAGGGGAAAAATGGACAAAGGTGGCTTTTCATCTTTACAATCAATGGGTTCAATGGGTTCAATAGGAAGAATGGATAGTGGCTTTGGTAATGATACAGGTATATCCAGTGGTAATACATTTGGAAGTGGTTCTGGATTTGGATTAAGCTCTGATGTCGACTCCTTTTCAAGCAAGTCTAAAGGTTGGTGCTTGTTTTTATCTGTAATCCCATTGGAGACTTGATAATTATAGTTCTTTTTATTTCTTAGATGCCTTTCTATTTACATTCTTAATGAAATGGCTTCAAAATAAGGACCTATATAACCGATAAATAACATCTATATGTGGATCCTCAGGTCGTCCAAGTTCAGCTGTTAGTGCTCCAAGTAAAGGGATGGGTATGCAGCTAGGTAAATCACAAAGGGCAAACCAGTTCYTGGAATCACTGAAAGCTGAAGGTGAAGTGATTGTGGAAGATGTCCGACCAAGTGCTAATCCAAGCAGAGCATCTGCTCCACCACCTACTGATCCTATAACTTTGACAACTGAAGAAAAGCTCAACGTGACACTAAAGAGAGATGGTGGTGTCAGCAACTTTGATGTGCAGGGAACCTTGTCTCTTCAAATACTTAACCAGGATGATGGGCTTATCCAAGTTCAGGTTTGCATCTTACAGCTCCCTTCTTTAATCTGCATTCATGGTATCTGCATTTTCTTTTTAGCATCTATCTTTTGAAGCTGGTAAGCAATAAGCAGTTGCATCCCTTTCGGATCCTTAAAGAGGCTTGCATGTTAGATCAACCACCATGGACCACCGTGAATTCCTAGGGTGTTGAGAGGGTTAATGTTGATGAAAACTGGGTGATATGATGTTTTGTTAGTTTTCTTTATTATGCATGCAAACATGTATGTGCATAATATTATTTTAATATTAGAAGCTAGATTAACTATCAGCAGATCGATATCACCTCCTTGATGCCAATTTTGCATGTTATGTATTACACCTTCTTGATGCCAATTTTGCATGTTATGGTAACATCATGATGCAATTCTTGTTAGTTTGGAAATTTTTCGTTTCAGGGGAAATAGTATATTGTTAAATGAACTATTACTTGGGGAATTGGGGTCTTCTTTTTGGTGAAAGGACCACCATGGCTTCTCTCTTCTCGAGAATCCATTGGGATTTAGAAATATTTTGTGATGAACGTACAGTAGAGAAGGGCGGGGGATATGATTGGATCTGTACAGCATTTTTTCTGTTTGTTTGGCATTTTCTACTGGGTTAGTTTTCACATGCTATGTCGATGTTAAAGCAGATATGTGGGAGTCTGCTCTAGCCTGTGGTTAAAGTTCTGTTAGCAATTTTTTAATTTTACCCCTTAGTAGTAGTCATGTGCTAGGCAAATGATGTTCCTAATGGAGTGATTGGACCTGTAGATGACAGTAGCCCAGAAACGAAGTTGTAATTTACTCTAATTCTTTTTTATTCTTATAGATCCACCTCCAGAGAGTTGATGCTGTCTTTGTCAAACACAGAGTGACAAAACTGACTTCTGTTACTCAAATTGAGTTTCATGTTAACAAAATTCTATTTTCTTAATTGAAGGACATAAGGCGTTGCCTTTTCAGATCATACGCTTTGGCTATATACATACATAAAGAATGAAATGCTAGTTCCAAATTGTACTCACTGAGCTCATTATATTTGTTGATGAATATTACAGCTATTTTCTATGCTGTGTCATCAGGTTCCAACTCCTTTTTCTAGTGGTAAGGTACAAGCATTAGGCATTTATAGTTGCATGGTATGCTTTATGAAGTGTTATGTGTTGAAGACTTCTGTGGTAGAAGTACACGTGCATAACAATCGTAGTAGTAGTATGAAAAGGTGTCTCATCGCAAAGTGAAGGTATTATACTGTAGCAACTGTATGGTACATGTAAATGTACATCGGTAGTTGTATGGTACAAGCTGTTTTGCACTTGTAAAAAATATGTGCTTTCTCAAAATGACGTGATGCACATTGGTAGTTGTATGGTACGACTATGTGTTGGTAAATAACATTTATTTACGTTAACGGGAAGGTTTTATGCATTAAAAATGTCAAATACTCTTTTAGTTTTACCATGCAAATGTTGTAGATTCAATTATTATATTCATCAAAGCTCTGAAAAACTTCAAACTAAAAATTAGAAAAATGGGTCTAATCTTGATCATGATCCATTTGATTGGATCAGCTGGCTATCAGATCAATCTATTAGCTAATAAATTAGATCACTGATTTGATTACAAATGATAGTCACTAGGTCTTCTTGTCCAAATCCAACCCATCTCTGAGAGCACAAAGTTCTAGTTTTGAAGCTTAATGCTAAACTTTCATAGTTGTTGATTTGGATGTCCTTGGTAAAGACACATTTTTTACTTTGATTTACAGGTTGAAAGTGGGGGTAATCCAGAAATCAAATTCAAGACACATCCTAACATTAACAAGGAGTTGTTCTCCAATGAAAATATTCTGGGATCCAAGGATCCTAACCGCCCGTTTCCTGCTGGCCAGTCTGGTGATGGTCTTGGTCTCCTGAAGTGGAGATTGCAAAGCAAAGATGAGTCGGATGTGCCATTGACAAGTAAGTGTCATGTCATGTCATGCCACCTGCTTTTATCCGGGATGAATTTTATGCATGTTCTAATGCAAATTCGGAATTTCATTTATCAGTTAACTGCTGGCCCTCTGTTTCTGGAAACGAAACCTACGTTAGCATCGAGTATGAAGCTTCGTCAATGTTTGATTTACAAAATGTTGTTATTTCGGTCCCTCTTCCGGCTCTTAGAGAGGCACCAAATGTTAAGCAGATCGATGGGGAATGGAGGTAAAGTTTTCGCTTTTCTTATGATATTAGTTTGGATTTGCTGTTTTTAATGGAAGTTATAGCACTAGAACCATGTTTTCTTATTCATATGGTATTTTTCCAATTATTTTACACGGGTATAATGACGTTTCTGTAGGCATCATTCTTGTAGGTTAGATCTTACAAGAGCTTCAATAATTGAAAACTTCATCTTGACTTTGTTAGAGCTCCATTAAAAGCAATCAGCAAAGCGTAGGAAACACGAAACAGAGAGCCAAAATTAAATCTTCAAAAAAATTACGTTCAACTCCAACAACTCCATTTTGGAGATTTCAACATATATTATGTTATTAAAATATTCAATAGATTTAATGTCCCAACAAATTTTCAAATAAAATTTATGTGAAATGACGATACATTCAACTTCATTGGTGGCAGTCGCAACTTCACGTAATCTCTCTTTCAACATTTAATTTTGTAGAGTAATCCAGATTTGGAGATTTTTAATTTTTTATCCTCTCGTACTTTTTCCATTTTGGAAAAGTTTTGGAGGATCTGCTGGAGCAAAAAAAAGAGGTTAAAAACTCCAAAATCTCTATTTTCTCCATTTTGACAGCTCCTCATTTGGGATTTGTAGTTCTATTTTTTTTTTATCGTTATTGTGGTATTATTTTGCATCTGAGCGACATATCTGAGATTTTCTGAAGTAACCTGAAATAGTGATCTTGTCAAAACCTTTTCATTAGAATCGTTCTAAATATTATCATATGACCTAATAAACTGGTGCACAACAGAATTTGTCAAGAGTTCATATTGTTTCTTTTTCCAAGTGCAGGTATGACTCCAGAAACTCAATATTGGAGTGGTCTATCCTTATAATTGATGACTCAAATCGCAGGTCAGTGGATAAGTGATCTTTTTTAGTTCTTTTCTTTACTTATTTAAAGCATGGCATGACGATTTATCTTGAGATATAATTTTGTGACGTAATGAACACTATGCAGTGGGTCGATGGAGTTTGTGGTTCCTCCAGCTGATTCTTCAGCTTTCTTCCCTATTTCTGTGCGTTTCTCGGCAACAAGTACTTTCAGTGGCATGAAGGTATATATGTTTCACCGTCAAACCCTATTTAATATGGTCGATTTTTTGTTAGATAACATCTGCCCATCAGTTTTCGTTCTCTGTTTTTATTTTTCGTATTCTTTCTTAAATGGTCAATTTAACAAAGTTGCCTTAGTTCTTATTTAGTGTAACTATAGTTGTTTTCCTCGGTCAATGTAAGAAAGTTTCAAAATTTTCTATTTTCTATCCATTTTGATCGGTAGCTTGCTGATTTTTTAACATTTGATGACGTGGACAGCATGTTACCGGTTAAAATGAGTACAAAATAACAAAATTAAACCTCCATTATATTAAATAGAAAATTTTGAAACTTAGTTCTTATTTAGTTTGAATAGTTGTTTTTCTCAGTCGATGTAACAAAAATTTCAAAAAAATTATATTTTGTACCAATTTTTACCGGATGGTTTTGCAACATTCAGTGACGTGGATGCCAAGTTTATTGTCCACTTTGCCGTGACCCTTTTGTAAACGGGCTTTCATGTAATTAAATGTTACAAGATTAACGATCATTAAAAAAATCAGAACTTTGTTGTATTAAATAGAAATTTTTGAAACCTTTTTACATCAATTGAGGAAGAAAAATATTATTTGTTACAGTAAATAAGAACTAAATCAACTTAGTTGCATTTTGACCTTTTTAACTTGATGTGGATCGAAAAGTGCGTTGGGCTGATTGAGGAATGTTACAGGTTGCGAGTATTTTGCCACTAAAAGGTGGAGCTGCTCCGAAGTTTTCTCAGAGGACGCAATTGGTGACGGAAAGCTACCAAGTTGTTTGATGGAAGTTGTTATTGTAAAAGCATAACTACTTGACGGAATCCCGGATTTCAAAATCGTTGTGTTTTTGTTCGCTTTCGTATTAATCATTGTGTTGTTTTCAAACCAAAATTGAGTGCATATTGGGGAAGTAGTTGTGTATTCTGGCTCATTTCGTAGATTGATGAAACCGGTCATGGTGTTTGGAGCAAGATACCAGGAATGGCTTGCAAGGGTAAAATTGTCATTACATGTTTATTGGTTTCTTTTTTACTTTCTTTATATATCAAAATATATAATACGTACAAATTAGCAAATAAGCGCATGAATTTGTCACCAAGTTATATTTGGATATTTTTACATTTTTGCAATGCAAGTTGAAGATCAAATTTTGAATTTTTTAATTCTATCATCTCGTCTTAGATCATGTCCATTTCTATTTATAGAAAGGAGTTCAATTGAGTAACCGGAGAATGTGATGAAATATCTCATTTGTCCACTGTTCGATTTCAAGCATACGCAACAATAGTGTCTACTGAGTTTATCAGCGTTGATTTCTTACAGTCACAATTTGTCGGGATTAGTTTAGACATAGCATGGGACACCCTTCCAGAAAAAGGATTTAACTTTAGCCACTAAAGTTAAAAATCAAATATCTAGATTTAAATAGAGATGTCGTCAAGTTAGGGTCTGTTTGTTTGTAGCTTAATGAATTTAATAGGACTTACAGCTTATTCATTCAAATATACATGACTGTTTAGTAGTGACTTAATGATACGAAAAGTGGTTTATTCAGTAAGTTTGTAGGAGGAAAGCGAAGTTTAAATCTAAACTTGTCCCTTCCAATTAAAAAACCCGTTCTTTTCATCTATAAAAATACCCTCCTAAACAACCTTTCAGAAAATTCACATAGAGTTCCATGAAAGATTTAATGGAAACTCAATCAAACAACCCCTAATTAGTTTCCAGTGTTGGTGACTAAAATAAAAGATTGGCACTCTTACATGCCATGTCTTGGGCAGTCGATTCGGTGTTCCACCGGGTTCACTTCGTAACCGACATAAAAGTTGTTGTGAATGCGATAAACTCTTTGGTTGAAGACAGTTCGGAGTTGGAGGTATCATTAGCCGTAAAGGTACCATACTTCGCAACCACGAGTTCTTATCTGCCACTGCTATTAGGAGACAAACGAATAGGATGACTCATGTTCTTGTCCAGCTGTCCCGTTCTCTCTCTTATCCTCTTACATTCTCTAACTTATCGCATTATATTTCTTGTTTAATGACGATGTTTACTCCATAGGAGCCCATTAATATATTTCGACAATCTTTTATCGAAAAAAAGATCCGCAAGCTTAGACGGGTCCATCAATAACGTACGAATGTACGATGCATAATCGGTTGGGCCAGTCATGCAAACCAGTCAGGCCCAACGGATTTGGATGAAACCATTGGGGCCTTTTGTGACAGAACTTTCAGCTGGGCCTTAAAGCCCAAACAATTTGTATGTTTTTTATTTGTTTTATTTCTATTTTTTAATCAAAAATAAAATAAAATATATCATTTAGTTAATTTTATAATAAAAGTTTAAACAAATTATTTAACAATAATAAATTAAAATGAAAAATAATATTTTAATTTATAGTTAATACATAGTTTTAAAAAATTGGCACCAGTCACGACCATCAGCTCAACCGGTTATAACCACAATATTTATCACCTAACAACCAGTTATATCTAAATTCAGTTACAGGATCTGACAACATAAACAATTAATAATTCAACTGATTAATCGATTTGTCTATCTTACAGATGGCTATGAAAAATAATTAAATATATAAGTATTGAGACAATCATTCTTCATTTATTATTACAATGATTTTGCTTTCATAGACATATGAGAATAATTGTCGTCTAAATATTTTATTATTATTATATCATTTTTAATAAATGAAAATAAATAAATATGTGTGTGTGAGAGAGAGGTGAACATGTGTGTGTGTGAAAGATAGTGACAAAGAGGTCGATGTGGGCTTTTTCTCTCTATTTATCAAAAACGACAAATATATACGGAGGGTGTGTGCAATTGGGTTTTTTGTTCTTTCAAAATACTAAATGATGCTATTTTGCAGTAGAAGAAATTAACAACTTTTGGTCGTATCGGTTAATTTTCTAGAGGATGTAACAAAAATCCCATTTTTCACGGTTTGAATTTATGCGTTATCAAAATCCTTGTGGTCACGACGGTTCACTTCGTCACCTCCAGACCATTGTTGATCATTCGGGATTAGTCAATGTGCATAAATTGACGTAAAAACCCTTGGTTACCTAGAAAAATGTGTTATAATGTTTACGAGGTTGTTAGAAGAGTTTATAATAATGTAGTTTTATAACGGTATTTAATACAATTACTTATAAAATTATAAAGAGTAAAAGGTTTTATAAGTCAAACCAACTCGGCCAATTTTAATACGCATAGTATTAGCATCATGTCAACCTATCCGAACCTTTGGACCCTACACATCACCTTCGACTCCCTGTCGCTTATTTTAAAATCGTGATGTAGATAAGTGCAACCAAGTTTCTAAAAAAAAGAATTAAATAGAATGACACACATATACTTTTAAAAACATCTTTATATTGATGCCGTTTGACAACCTATAATATATATATATATACACACACACACACACATATAGACTTGGGATCATGTGAGATCAAAGGTTTTTCGTAAGACCAATTATCACTCTTGGATTATATCTATAATCTGAACATTCGTAATCACAAAATTACTTAAACTATAACAAAAGCCAGAATAAATGATAAATAAATTAGTAGTTATAAACAATTTTATGTTATCTTAGATCTATCTTTATTTCTTAAATTTTACTAGTATCATCGAAGACTTCTTATGTCTATATCTTCATTATCGATAATAGTCTGATGATGTATAAATGATGAAAGATCGTATGAGAATAAGAGTTAAGTTGAAATCATAATAAGATATCTAAACCCTTTATCATTTTTAATCTCAACCCACCCCATGAATTGTGCCTATCACATAATTGATCGAGGTGTACCACATTAGTGTTGATCTTCAATTAATATTGATCGAAGAATGAAAATCCCTTCTTATCATTCTCATCGAAACCCAACCTTAATATATATATATATATATATATATATATATATATATATATGTTGGTTATTATACAACACTTGACATTTGTACAACCAATACAACACAATCTCAACCGTCCATTTTATTTGATTAATATGTGATTACATAAAAGTTTTGATTGTTTTTTAATATAAAGTATTGATCATAATTAATGAACCATATTCATCTTCCATAAATATTAAAATCATAATAAATGAACTCTCATCATTTTCATAAATATATCAATTTATTGGGTTGCATTGGTTGTACAAATGCAATAGGTTGTATTTGAAACAAACATTCTCTCTCTCTATATATAAGGTTTATTTTGCAAAAAACGTTATTTGTATAAACCGTACAAACCTCATTCAACCAATCATAATTTTTTATCCTGCTCATTTTTTTGTAATTATGAGAGGTTGATTAATCATTTTTATTGTGTAAGGTGTTAATCATGGATATTATCATCTTCAATTATATCAATTTTAGAAAAATATATGAAACAGTTTCATTAAAATCTCGTACGTATTATATGAAACGATTTCATAACCATATATGAAACAACTTCATAGAAAAAATATATTATATGATACAATTTCATAAGATTAAACAATGAAATTATCTGAATAATTTGCACAGTTTGTACAACGATGGATAATTTGTATTTGATAATGTCTTTCTCTAAGATGATGGGGGAGGTGACTAGGAAGCTTCGCATAGGAAGGAGTGGACAAAATGAGGAAGGGGACCAGATTAGGCCCAGCCTGCTTCATTCACCTCACCTGCCAAACTAATTAACCTTTATGGTTCACAACAAATGTTCCACATTTATCATATCATATAATTTAATATTAATAAATGATGAAAATCAGTGACGGATTCAGAAACTTTTGTAGTTGAAGGCACACTTAGGGGTGTAAAAAAAATATTCAAAACCAAATAATTCATCTGGATGAAAACGGTTTTGGGTTTTCCTTTTCGACTTAAACGATTCAGTTAACCGAATAAAGATAATTTATTCAGGTCGATTTTTCAGTTGAATTTTTACTAATTCATCGAGGTGTATAATTTTTATATTTTATATTTCGAACGAAAATATCAGTGTGTGCTGCAAATGAACCAATTAACAATCAGGATATTAAGTTGGGGATCCTTGCCTTGTTTTTGTTGGACGCACAAAAGAAAAATTTACTAAACAAATCTTTTTATAGTTATTTATTTATTTATTTATAAAATTAGTGGGTTTGTTGGGGGCCTAGGACCCCTACCTCCCCTAGGAGGCCAGGACCCCTACCAACATAAATTAAATCCGCTCATGATGAAAATACTCTTATATTATGTGAATATTAAGATATATTTTTATAAATATAGTAACTTTTAAGTGGACCTTAAATGTGTATTATAAGAAAATATTACGAAGGCAGTAACTTTTACATTTCTTCATATAATATGAAGTTATATTAACAAGTTTACGGTAAGTTTAGATTGTGGTGAGAAATATAAGAAGGGATCTGGACTTTTAATCATCTTTAATCTCAATCCCACCCAGAGATCACGTTTGATACGAGGATTGATCTAATTCATCTCGTTGTATCTCATCCTAATGTCCATTCAATGGTGGAGATCTCTTATTACGCTTTCTCATCTTAACTCTTTGTCTCACCTGGACCCGACCCAAGTTTAAATTATATATATATATATATATATATATATACATATATAGGGGTCTAATCAAATGAGAACTGTTTTGATTTAAAATATTAATTAAGGACATTTTAGGGATTTTATAAATATCCTCTCTCGTCTCTCCTCTTTCCTCTCTCTAGTGAATCTTCTCCGATGAACCTTGTATGAACATAAGATATACATTGTGATACAAATGATATTCACTGTGATACTCAGACATACATATAAGATGCACAATGTGATACCTTTTGTAAAACAATGAAAATAAAGAAAATGCATACTATGATACATTTCATGAAACAAAAAAAAAACATTGTGATAGCATTAATATTTTCTAGTCACAATATACTTAAATTTGATCAAAATTATTACTAGTTTTCATATTACAAGCATTTTTCTTCAAATTATTT